TCCAAACTTCGAACTTCGTCAAGCCCAAATCACAAAAATTTTTTTCCCTTCCCGTTGATCTTTTTGCAGCTGCGTTTGTACACTGATAGATTCCCCTTGAAAAATCCTATCGAATGATATATAGGTCGACCAGTGACGTGCATGGCGCAATCCAAAATAAAGCATTTTCGACATTTCAGGGCATCAACTTGTAGAGCTCGATGAGCTGAGTTCAATGGTATTTGAAGGAGGTATTCAAGGAGGTGTTTCTCCTCGATTACTTTATTTTGAAGCGATTTATAAAGAAAAGACGAAAAGGGGCGAACTCGCGGTATTATCGTAAATTTTTGAGTTCTTAAGACGAGTACTGTAATAAGAACTTATGAAGTGCCTTAGAGAGAAAGAAGCCCCGCCAGTTGAATTCTAAAGGCTTTGATATTTACTATAAAGCTTTAACTCTAGTATGTTTCATTCGGTAAGACGGGATGGTATTGCAGCATGACAAAAAGTGAGTGGTAAGTGCAGCTATATTGACCGATTAAAAGCGTTACATTATAAGGAGGTGGGAATTCGGGTAATATCTTGCTATCCGAATGCGACTGCTACCCAGCAAAGTTTCTGATTCAATGAAGGATAATGCTGTTATCATCACTCGACAACCTTTGTGAGTACCATTCAGTGTTTTGATTAAAGCTGGAATGGCTGAGTGGATAAATGTGTAGGCGCATAACTGTACCTAGGAAGAGCGCAACTTCGATTACTGCCCAGGCGAAATACATGCTTTGCAGAAACTGCAAAAATGTCACGGTACCAGCATCAGGCTCAGGTTGACAGGCCGGCTGGAGGAGAAACCCAGTCACAAAAACCATTCGAAAGTCTTATAAGGATTCAGTGATGAAGCCAGGAGTGATGGGAAAAGTGAAAAAAAAGCTGAAGTGGTGCACAGGACCCCCGCCAGACTCCTACAGAGGGCACGCGAAGGCTACCGAGGAGTGAACGATCCCACATCAGGCAAAGAAGTAAGCACGAATTGGGGCTCTTAGACTGGGATCGCTTACTGAAAAGTCTTGAGATGTAAGGAAAGGAAGGCTCAAAAGGTCAACTGCAACAAAGGAAGGGATAAAGGATAAAGTCTTCGGGCAATAACCGATCTAGTCTGAGGGATGCGCCCACGCAGTCGTTGCCCATTCAGAATCGTAAAAGCGCATTGAATGTGAATGTGGCCCATACAATGACGGAAAAAGACCATTTGCTCGTAAGAAGGTTGTCCTCAAGAGTGAGACAATTAAGGCGTTTGGTGGTGGAAAACTGGCTTCGCAGCACAGGCTCCTTGTAGCAGACAATCGTGAAGCTTCCTGAGAAATCAAGGACTTGAACGGAGCGGAGGATCCGGTGGTGGAAACTGCACCAGGTCGAAGAGAGGAACTTAAACAAAAGATAATGGTCTTCGGATCTCTAGGAAAAGACCCAGCAGGCTACTAGCGGACCAATACTGTAAAAGCCATTCTACGGTGTGAGAGGGAAGTGCGCCGATAGAGACTCCAGGTGGATTGCAAGGAGACAAGGAAGCGTGTTTCTGGAACTATTAAATTCAGCAAGTTGTAAGACAGAAGAAAGCGTCAGGCGAAAGTTGAGAGAATATGTCTACAGGCACCTTAATGAAGAACGTCCGTGAGAACAGCTCCCAAAGAGAGTCGACGCCTGGGTCTACCGCACTGCGGACATAGGCAAAGTGTGTAGGGCAATTGGAATAGTGAAGGCTGCAAAAGCAAATGGTCGGGACAGTGTCCACACAAGGCGTGTAAGGTAATCGGAGAGCACGGGATTCAGTGGCTCTCCTACCTACTCCTACTCCTGAGCACTCCGACCTTTAAAGGAATAATTTCAAATGCCTAGAGCAGCAGCAGCATCGTTTCCATATTCAAGCAGGAGATGACGCGATGGAGTGTCTCAACTACAGGGGGATCAGGTTGACTGCTCACATGATGGCACATGGTTGACTGCTAACATGAGCCTAGCAATCCTCAGTCTGAAGGCTTCCGCAACAAGCGGAAGATAGTAGAAAGCCGCTCCATAACTCTGGATAGCGCTCCATAAACGGTAGGTTACTGAACACGTGATCTTTTCGGTCAAAGACATGTGCGATGGCTCCACGACAACCATACGCACTCCACACGGCTAAAACCGAAGCAATAGATGTCACTTGTTGGGGCAAACCAAGGATCAGCTGTGAGCTCTTTCCTGTTCCTACTCACCGCGGATGTGTCAGCACAAGTGGACTCCTAGATGGTCGCTGCAGTCCATCCTTCATGACAGGGCTCCCATAGCAGAGAGCAGTTATGAACTCGAGGACAAACTGCAGAAATGGCAGAAGGTGCTGGCGGATAATGGGCGCCGGCACGGAGTCAATCGTAGAGGGTCTTGGGGAGGCTGTCGAAAGGATAGTAGACTTTGGATACCTGGGAAAGAACGCCGATGGTAGGGTGGGCCAGGCTATGAAAGCCCGTGGTAAACGCGGCACGGATGAAGTGGAGGGAGTTCATTGGTATCATCTGTGATCGGCGGTGCGCCACGACGCTCAGAGGAAAGGCTTTTAGGACAGTGGTGAGGCCCGCGATGACCGACGGCAGCGAGTGCTGGACCGTAAGTAGTGTTCATAAAAACCAGATTCACTTCGCTGGGAATGGGATGTTCACATAAATCTATGGTTAACACGACAAGACTGGATCAGAAACGAAGGTGTCAGAGCGTTCAACGAACAGCTCCTGCCAGCTGAAGATGAAAGAGCAGCGTCTACGATGGTATGGACAAGTACTAATTGTAAGAAGGTCACCGATTCATCAATAAAAGGGGCATCGGAGTTGAGGCTCAATTAAAACGCCCCTGAGGGGCTCTTGCAAAGTGGTTGGGGGATGTGATCAACAAGTACCTTGTCGTGTCTGAAGTATCAACAGGATATGCCTCGGACGGGAGGAGGCGAAAACGATTGGCAAAGAGTACCGGGAGTCCTAATGTTACGTTTAGCCTTCATAAACAACTACTCGGTTCACCCGGCTGATGCCGGGCATCCGTCCTTGATATAACAGAGTTATAATAATCGGGAAATCCTTCTTTGGAACAAACTATCTTTTCTGAAAACAAAACCTAACAGAGGACTAACAGGGCATGCAAGTGGTATTAAGTATGCACCGATGCAGGTGCCTATAATTAGAAGACTCGTTCTGTTGCTATTCATCTTGAAAACATTAACCCACTGGAAGTTCAACTGTTCTTTGCTCACGCCACGCCCCGGGGGGTTTAGTCCTGTCACCTACCATCAGTGTTTCAATCTTGCCTCCTGTATTCCTACCAAATTCTAGCGCTCTAGGTCCACGATTATTCCGCAATAAGCCCGCGCATTGTGAGCGGAGTTGGATTCAGCCTCCTACCATAGGTTTCCCCTTCCTGCGGCCTGTACTCCTATTAAATCTGTACACTCTCTCTAGCTCTACGGGAGTTATGAATCTCCGATCAGACACACACACCTATCGACATGATATTACAGTTCGGTTCTTAACACCTCCTCCAATAAGCGGTAGCGACACCAGTTAATATAACAGTTTATTAGAAATCAAAACCAACAGGATTAATTCCATATAGCGTGCTGACGACAGCAAACGGCTTGTCTGGCGATAGACGAATCCGCCGCTGAGGCCCACAGGTTGAGCGGCGGCTGCGACGGCAAGTCCTGGCCGGCGCCGTACCATTTGTTTTATAGTTCGCGAGAAAGCTTGTAATCAGTGCATTTCATCGGAACTTGCCGACACTTCTGCGCAAGCTGGAATTGTAGGTAGGTGGTAAATATCACCTGTGATTTGTTGGAAAATTCCTGAGGCTTACACTTCCCAATTCACCCATATACGACCGCCCTCTGACGTAGAAAAAGGCGAGAATAAGGGAGACCAAGATTGCCCGTGTTCCCTCCTTAAAGCCTCGTCTCACCGTCAACCAAAAAGCAAAAAGAAACATAAATCACGAAATGTGCTACCTGAACCCATAAGTGTGCCAGGAATTTTCCACGAAGGAACGCGAGGAAACATAACGGAATACTACTCTAAAGAGGGGAGCTAAGAAGTTATAAAAACAACAAGAAAAAATAAACCTAAGTAAAGGAGAAAAAGGAGACTGCTCACCATAAGTGAATGCATATAAGAAAAATCCCATAATCAAAGGAGGAGAATAAGAAGGAAAAAACGATGCGGATGAGTGTGGATCGTGCTCGTCGTATTCGAAAAACAGTGTGGCCTTCTGAATGAGTAGTGCCGGAAGCGTATTAAGCCGAAAAGTCGAAAAAGAACGGCAGAAAAAAGCCAGGAGACACTCAATGTTACCGAATGACGAATATTACGCGAAAACGTCTTGGAGAGAGCTGGCCTCCACGACAGCGTTCGGTCGTAAGCCCACTGCACGATGGAGCCCACTGGAGGACGAGTCCCTAATTCGGCAAGGGCCGCAGAGCTTCCACATGCCCTAAGGTCAGTAGGTGTAGTGTTGCTCCCTCAGTGCTAAATCTACTACGAAACGAAGGACCTTCAGGTGTTTGTACTCGTCGGGCTTCAGCAGTGTCTAGGTGAATTATGCAACGGCGACATTCATTGTCGATGTCGTGGAATCAACTTGCCCTGTTCTGCGAGGCGATCGGTGAAAAGGGCTCCCACTACCGTTTTTCCAGTGCCAAAGGCAGCCTGAACAGCCAAAACTGGGTGAAGTTCGGAGTGTTACCCAACAGCGAAGGTCTGACGTTCAGACGAATAGGTTCCTTCCGCGATACGTTTCCGTCGGTTGACAATGTCGTTGTGAAAGTTGTTCTCAAGGAGCTGATCCGTTACCCGCATGTTGTCCAAAAGTGATGATATCGTCGAGCCGCTGGAGCTCCATCGATAATATTATATTCGTCGAAATTCGGTTGGGCGGGCGTGGAGTTCCAACGAATCGACGGGGAAGAAGTGAACGCACAACGCGACTCGCAAGGTATCCGTCGGGAATGAAACGATAAACGTGCGTAAGAAGTTCAGTTGCGAGGACGGCTTCGGGCGGAAGACGAATCCGTGGACGAGACTCGATATGGATTTTCCACGGATGGAGATGAGCGTATTGGTTAGTGTAGTCTGGAGCAGTTTGTTCCCAACGAGAAGAACGAGCCGGATGGGTCTGAATACCGCGATGGCGGTTGAGGGAAGGAAAAGGTGCATCTGCGCGAGGCGGTACATGAGGTGTGGTGGACACATCTTGAGCCGTTGATATGGAAAACGACGGGGAGGTAACGAGCGACAGCTGTTGAAGTTCAATAGAGGACTCGACTTATCACTTCGTGTGACGTAGCATTCCTGAGGTGCTCGTGTCGTATGTGCTGCCAAATCGGTATCCGTGTCAGAGAGTTGAGCCTTAGCCCGTGATTGCAGTGGGATCGAATGTTCCGAAAAAGCATCAGTGGAAGGTTGGTCCAGTGCGATCATTGTCTGCTGTAAAGACTGGGATGCGTAACCTGAAAAAAGATTCAAGGTGGACGGAAACCGACAAAGCTTTAATCGAAATTAGCGTACCATCAGTACTGGGAATGCGCGTGGCTGAATGTTGGGCATTAGCCCCCGACGTCGGAGCCCTGCCCACGAATAAATCAGAACAGAGATTGGACATTGAAGTCCATGACACGACAGTTGTTCGAGTTGAAACACGGCATGTAATCTGAGGCTATGGTATCGGGCCACGAACACCTGACGTCAATGGGAGGAGAGACGGGAAAGCAAAGTTGAGTATGGCTATCACGAGAAGAAGATGGATAGGAGAAAGAGAGTGACTAAAGGAATGAGTAAGTAAATAATGAGCCTGAAGATGTCCACTGAAGATGTCAGATGGAGCCCAGTCGCATCCTGAAAGGAGTAATACAGCGGTGTGTTGGAAGAGCGGATGTAGTTGATGTCTCATCGGTGGTAGAAGGCAGAGCGACTGCATGTGTATCTCCTGTCACTACCTGTGGTAGAAGGCAGAGCGACTGCCTGTGTATCTCCTGTCACTACCTGTGGAGTGGCGCTACGCTAGAGATTGTTGAAGCTTTTGGATCTTCTTCTGGGAGCCATGGGAAAGAGAACACCGGTCTCGTCAGGACAAACACGCTTTTCATTTGATTAAGATGTACGCGTCTCGGAGAAGACTGAGATGCCGATGTGCTCACTATAGTGAGATGAGCATGGGTAAAGAACCGTTCTTCTTTTTGACCATTCCAGTGTTGTGTAGCCAGAGGATATCGCTTTCAACGATCCGACCTGAGGCGAATAGCTTTATGATATGAACACCGAGCTCCATTTGCAATCTTGCTGGGGATGCGGATTGGCCAGTACTTAGAAGAGGGGATTTTGGTGGTTGTTGTAATTGCGTTCTGGGTGTGATCATAAGATGAGGGGATATGCGATGTTGAAATTCCTGAAATAGCTTCACCAGTCGTTGCAGTTGCTCAGGGGTCACGTTGGCCCTGAAGACATCAACAGCCAGGGCGACGAAGCCGGAAAGGTTGCTGACGAAGGGCGCGTGTGAACGGAGATGCTAAAAACACCGGGATAATCAAGCAGGGCTTCATTAGCGAGCTTCATAACTGGCTGAGCCGAAGTCGACCGCTGGTCCTTGTAGCTGATCTTCGGAGAAGCGGTATGAAAATGGTGACATATCTAGGGACTTTCTCGGCCAGATAACGTGATACTGGTTTTTCGGAAACAGGAGGGATTACCACGGATTCAGCCGCCCGCACCGGAACGGTGATCTCGGTTGGAGGATCGAATAGCGAAGACGACGAAGTAGTCGCGACAACCGGCAATGTTCCGCTGCCCGCCAGGCACAAGCGCCGAGGATGATTCAAGGTCCAAGGTGACAGCTGTTGTAGTGAGTCATTTCCGGGCATGATCATGTAGGCGTCGACTGAGCGAGGGACACGCAGACTTCTGTGAAATGGATCAACTGAGTATCAACTGAGTGTATTCCGTTTTCCGAGCTGGATCGTGATATTGGCACAACCAGCAAACTTACCAGAAGTTCCAGTCGCGCCGACAGCTGTCGGCAACCGGCAACCATGTGAGAGATGCCAAGTAAGGGAGGCAAGGTCTGACCGGCAACCGTGACACCTGCCCCAGTGTCGATGAGCGCGAGTATGCATACGCCGTTGGCGCAGATAGGCACTTGACGGTGAAGTAGGGCCGATGAGTATCCAGTGACAGAGCTGCGGTAGATACTATTGCCGTACGGGACCAGCATGGAGATGAGTCTATATCTACATGTGAAATGTCTAGATTGGGTCGCTGTGCTGGATCGAAACGCTCCGTGCAACGCGGAAAATTCTAGTGGCAAGTAGATCGAAAGTAAAAAATTTCAAAGCGGAAAGGGTTTTTCAGCGTACAACAAACTGTAATCCAGATGTCAAAAAATGAAAAGAACCAAGGCAGAAAGTGGGGAAAAGAACCGCCCGCTGAGCTTGCCGATACTCCGTTTTGAGCCGACACTAAGTGGATAAAGTGCTCTACTAGCCTCGTCTTGTCTCGCGCAATCCACAGTTCTCGCAGTTGATTTCCACCGGAAGCCTCGCTGAACTTAGTCAAGACAAGATTATGGAAAATAGTGAGAGGAGGAGCCTTCTGAAGCAGTCTTGAGGATGCCGGAAGAGAAAGGATAGTGATGTCCTTCGGGGTTTCACTGGCCAAGAACCCGTAAGGGGGTCAGANCGCCGGACAGCCTGGGATTAGAGAAACCCCGAAGGGCATCCTCCAAGCACTTCAACTCTGTCGGCTCCCTCTGAACAATGCCTGTGCGGAGGTCAAGAAAGGCGAACATGGGGGTACCGGTAGAGAGCTAAAGAAACACCAGGAAAGGTATAGCACGTGTCTTTGAATGCCCGAAGTCAAAGGGCTGTGATGGTAATGCAACACACCGTTGGACTTGAACGAATCCACCCACCAGAGAGGATGCGGTGATATCACGCCGACCTAGTAAGGAGCGTATAGTATTTGTGGGATCAGTCGCAAGCGCATACTGAAGTGATACTGAAAAGGTGTTAGTTTGTGGTGGCAGCTCAAAGTTATCAAAAAATCTTTTCTCCTCAATCGTCCAATACCCTGATCATGAACGATTTTCGCGAATTGCGTTCAAACCCTGCAGAAGGCAGGATCCAGGGGCAGGAATTATTCATATCGTCCTCCCTTTCATCCTTTCAAGATCCAAGGATGTACAGTGTTCGATACCTGTGCCAATGTGAATACCACCGACGTTATGGATCTAAGTGTAAAAAAGCATATCCTGGTATTTATTCTTTTCCGGTGTTGACCGAATTGGATCGATTAAATAAAAGTAGTGGTAATAATGAGTTGCGTGCGAAAGCTCGAGTAGCCATCGGTCGGCTTCGACAGTTGCATTCTAGCAGACAAGCCGAGTTGGAGGACTCCAACGATTCCAGACGATGTGTGGACGTAATTATGGCCGTCAAGAACGGCGAACGCACATCGAGATGCGCCTACCTATTTCAAACCGCACTGCTACCTGATTGCCTCCAAGCTAGTAAAACTCTCTTTATGACCAACGACTGCAATCTTTACCTGAAGGCGGCTGCTTATGTCGTCGAAGCGCATGTATCGTTCCATACTTGAGTCAGTGCAGACGAAGCAGCGTTCCGGCAGATGTTGGCATCACGTCCTAGTATGGGGCCTCGTAGACGATTTCCCCGATGATGTCGAAAGCCTGAGTAGTCCCCGAGTCCGACTTGGTGGTCTTCGTGTCAGGCAGAAGGGA